ACAACGAGTGTTCTCAATTGTTCGGGATGTAGTACCGATGAAGCAAAGACACCGCTTTTTCGGGAGTAGACAGCCTTGGTGGAACAACGAGCTGCAGCATCTACGTAATCGTCTTTGCAAGGCCAGGAAACGTTATTTTCGTTCGAGGGACGAACAGCACAAAGCTGAGCTGCGTGTATTGGAGAGCGATTATAACTCTTTGCTTGCGCGATGCTTCAGCAGCTACATTCATCGCACGGAAGAAAACATCAAAAACGATCCTAAATCGTTTTGGTCGTTCATGAGAAGTCGAAAGCAAACGGATGCAATTCCTCAGCATGTTTTTTATAACGAGTTTACGGCCGAAACCCCGCTTGATTCGGTAAATTTGTTCTCGTCATTTTTTCGGGGTGTGCTAAGTAATAACCGATCACCTCCGTCTGAAGTGTACTTGAACAGTTTGTCTCGATATGATTTGAACGTAGCGCTTCTTTCTCCGGAAAATGTGCTGAGCAAACTCCAAGGGATAGACGAATCCAAAGGCGCCGGACCAGATTGTCTTTCACCACTGTTTATCAAGAACTGCGCCGTTTCGCTTTCCGTTCCCGTCACAATTCTTTTTAATTGTTCCATGGCGGAAGGCGTTTTTCCGAGTGCTTGGAAAACTGCTGCCATTACTCCCATACATAAAGCTGGTAGTATCCACAACGTAGAGAACTACCGTGGCATATCAATTTTGAGCTGCTTGCCAAAGATTTTTGAAAGCCTCGTCTTCGATTCATTATATCCACACGTTCATCATATTATTTCCGAATTCCAGCACGGATTCGTGAAAAAACGCTCTACCACTACCAACCTGATGGCATATGTTTCCTCGTTGGTCAACGCACTGGAAATGAGACAACAAATCGATGCCATCTATATCGACTTCTCTAAAGCGTTCGATTGGCGGTGGACAAATTGGACAGAATGGGCCTACCCGCCTGGTTGACTCGCTGGATATTTTCCTACCTAACTGAGCGCAGTGCCTACGTTCGCCTTGATGGAACGAGCTCTGACCCATTCGATATCACATCTGGTGTGCATCAAGGGAGCCATTTGGGCCCACTTCTTTTTGTGCTAATTCGTCAACGATCTTTGCGAAACGATTAAATCTCCGAAGGTAATGTTTGCCGATGATTTGAAGTTCTTTCGGGTAGTTTCATCATTAGTTGATTGCTGTGCCATACAAGCTGACATCGACGCGTTACTACACTTTTGCAGGCTAAACGGAATGGATGTAAATGCCCGAAAATGTAATGTAATTTCTTTCTATCGAACAAGGATGGCGACCATTTTCGATTATAGAATGTTGACAACTAGTATCGACAGAGTAAGCACTGTTAAAGATCTGGGTGTGCTACTTGACAGTAAGCTGAGGTTTACCCAACACATAGCTGCAACGACCGCCAAGGCGTACGCAGTGCTTGGATTCATCAAACGAAACACGCAGCAGTTTGAAGACATTAATTGCTTGAAAAGTCTCTACTGCGCGCTGGTACGCAGCATACTTGAATATGGAGTACTGGTGTGGGCGCCATACCATGTCGTTCAGATTACCCGGATCGAGCGTATTCAAAGGAAATTTCTTCGATTTGCACTTCGTTTACTTCCGTGGAATGATCCGGTTCGATTATCACCCTACGAGCATCGCTGCGCCTTGATACATCTACCGACCTTGGCTAGTAGGAGGATCCTGTTGCAGCGGCTTTTTATACTCGACATCCTGAAGAGCAACGTAGACTGCTCAGTACTGCTGAGCAACATAAATGTTAACATTCCGGCCAGAACGATCCGGCGTGCAGATTTTCTCCGCCTTCCTGTGCACCGCACTCTTTATGGACAGAACCATCCGTTTGATGTTTGTTGTCGTCATTTTAATGAAGTATTTGTGCTTTTTTATTTTAATATATCTAAGATAAATCTAAGCAATATCTGTATGTACGATCAGTTCGAAGAATAGTAAAATAAAAAATAAAAATAAATAAAATGATTGAAGCTTGGCTTGTTTGGACAAAGCATTTCATCCATCCATTCGGCGTTTTTTTGAGTGCTCGGTATCAAGCCCTCTAACGAAAGTTAATACAATTTGTTGAGTGGCTTTCATTCCACGAACCTTGACATATGCCCCACAATTGTTGCATCTGGCAATCGTGAAAAACTCGCCATTTAACAACATGGAGCCAGTCGCTGTCTCATACGGCGGCCAAACGAGTGTTCAGATGTTCGAGCAGATCAGGCTCGACCTAAACTAGCAGCATGTTGGAAGATTCGGCATCATCAATTTTAAATGAATCACTCTCTGATTCTTCATCTGAAAACACCCCAGGCCTGTTGGGGTGAGAGGTAATCACGCTTAACATTACACAACCGGCGCCACTATTTCTGAAACTTGTGAGAATATATTGAGTAGATTGAATACCCATCAGTATACAAAATTTTCACGAAACTACATATTTTCTAAAATAATAAAAAAAAAAATCAATTTTCCTTAGAAAATCATCCATCCAATCCATTTAAAGTTGAGTTGCCTTGAGGTACGTTCAACCTGTACCCATGCACATTGTTTCTGAAACTTGTGAGAATATTTTGAAAAGATTTAATAATCAGCAGTCCACGAAATTTTCTCGAAATTAGGTTTTTTTTTATAAAATTATCATAAATATTAATTTTTCTTACAAAATCATCCATCCCATCCATAATATGAGTTGCCTTGAGGTACGTTCAGCCTGTTTCCATACAGATTGATAATGAATGCTTAAAGATATTTAAAAATCATCTTCCATGTTTGTTGCTTGCTGTTGAATGCTTAGCTGGATATAGGTATGCAAGGGTAATTCGATATGTTTGTTTTAAAATCACGTTTTTGGAGATAAAGTAGCTTAGAATACACTTAAGTAGTATGCTTTTTGGGTCAAATCGGGCTAAACTATCCTGAGGAATCCAAATCCAAAGTCAGATTTCACATATAATGTGCGGCGACACGAATGTTACCCTAAAACAAGGAATTTGCGAGGTTCGTTCAAAATCCCTGAAGGTACACTATGGTACACTGTTGGTACAATTCTCCCATGCCTGTCAAAACGAATTTTGCCATGCCCATCATATGAAGAGCCGCTTTCTCAATCTCAGAGATGAACCAGCCAAAAAGCTAAAAATCTCCTTAATAAAGAATTTAAAAAAAAAACTTTCTCAATCGAACTTTATTGTCACTGTCAATTGAGTCACTCACTATCATTTGATATACGACAGTGGAGTATGGAAGAAACCCAGCAAAATGATCAATTTTGAGTTTATGTAGGGTCAATGTCGGATCAACATCAGGTGGGGATTGGTAGAAGTCATGTTGGTATCGGATTGGTTTAGCTTTTTCGCCAGAATATCGACCAGAGCTCCGTTTGTGTGTAGGCGAAGACATCATATCATGAAGACTAGCAAATTTGCCAGAATCCAAGCGACAGATACAATAGCGCTGCGCTTGAGTGAAGGTGGAAGAACGCATAGAAAAATGAGCAAATACACAAACTTTTCTTCTGAGGATGTAATCTTTGCTGTCAAATTCATTCGAAGCATTTACCTTTGAGCGGCAGATGACGCGATTGTACCTGTCTCATAGCGTTCGTATGAGAAAATGGAAGAATTGCCAGTCTTCTAGATTTGTTGTCTTCGGTGTAGGTTACACTCAATTGAATGATATCAAGATTTCTTAAATGATAACGAGCCATGCCTTCGTCAAATGACTAAACAAACTGATTTCACCCAGGTCCCTTGATAGCGGATAGCTGCTTTTATCATTTTCATCAAAAATGTTCAGTTGATTTTGATAATTTACAGCACTGCTCAGCAATGTTTACAATATGTTTGCTTCTAACACCAGCGGGCGTCATTGCGGGTCTGGTACATTTGGAATAAGGACGATTGGCATAAGGACATTTACTATAAGGACGTTTGACATAATTGCTAAAATGCGACTTATTTTGTAATCCAAGAATTAATTTCCAGAGAACTTCGAGATTAGGGCGTAATTGCTTTTGTAAACAAACACGTCATTTGCCGGTTTCTTGCGAATTGAAGCTCAATCTATAAAGCTAATAACACACACAAGTAAAGGAATGATTACTCTATCATTTGGTATAGTTTGTTCGTGAGATTGCGTTTTTATTTGCGAGAAATCAGCGATGGACGTGTTTGTTTACAAAAGCAATTACGCCCAAATCTCAAAGTTCTCCGGATTTATATTTACAATCTACGATTATTCCTTCCTTTAATTGCTGCTCGTTCTTTCATGGTAATTAAAGGGCTCGGAAGAACTGCTCATGTTTGACAGAAGAAAAAATCTGTCTTAGTCAAATGTCCTTGAATCAAACGTCGCCAAATGTAAGAGACTTATGCCGCGGATGAACTTGGATGACAAACTATGAGCATGAGCATTATTTGTATAATAATTATGTGCACTATACAACAACTATACACAACTACGGGGCCTCCCTTAGCTCAGTCGGTAAAGACACAGCTACAAAACAAGACCATGCTGGAGGTGGCTGGGTTCGATTTCCGTCCGGTCTAGGAAATTTTCGCGACTTCCCTGGCCATAGAGTATGATTGTACTTGCCACACAGATATACTAATGCAAAAATTGTATAGGCATCGAAAGCTTTCAATTAATAACTGTGGAAGTGCATCTAGAGCACTAAGTTGAGAGCACGCAATAAGCTAATATGCGATAAGCAATAAGCTTGAAATGCGATGAAGAAGAAGAAGACACAAACTATACAAGTGTGACCATGGATGTGCTCATAATTTATTTTACAAATAATGGTCATATTTATACTTTGTCATACAAGTGTATCCGCGGCATTACTTCGGCTTGGGAATGCAGTCCTAGTATCTTTACTGACTAGGCTATCTGAGGCACCAGTGACTGCATATTTTATTTTACCCAAATAGAACATATACACTACGTGACTAATCGGATAAATTACCTCACTCTTTTCACGTGCTCTCTGCAAGATTCGTTCTTCAATTGTGCCTTTACAGATCAAACGATAAACAGTAACCTGTTTTGTTTGACCCAAACGATGAGCACGATCCATTGCCTGTTGATCGACAGTTGGATTCCAATCCGAGTCGTAAAAAATAACCTGGAATGAAACAAAACGCACATATTAAGATTGAGATATACTATCATTAAAACTGTTAATGTGGTAGACTTTGGATTTTTGCACATTAAGTAAACTTTAATTTTCGTGTATTATTTTGAAAGTTATATGTTACTTCTATTCCTTTATTTAACGTCGGTCTCTGTTCCGCAATCTAGTGCCAATCACCGACGGACATCGATTGCCATCCATTGACGTCAATCGAATGTGCAAGAAGGTAGCTTCCACACATGCTTAAGATATCGCACCCATTCAACACACATAGGCCGGGACCAACCGGTTTGCTTTCCTTCCGAAGGAAAACGTGACCAGGGATTGTTATTGTTAAAGGTGCAACGATCGTCCTAATAACGTACCAGTTTATAGCTGTCTACTAGCCACTGAGCAAGATGCGCCATTTTATTCATTCAACAACTGCTACGAAAGTTCCGATGGACAAGTTGAACGACCAGAACTACGCAATATGGAAGTTTAAGATCCGGCTTCTGTTGACGCGTGAAAGTGTGTTGGATGTTGTGACAAAACCGAAGCCAGTAAACGCTGATGCGGGCTGGCTCATTAAAGATGGTAAGGCGCAGGCGTTGATCGGTTTGGCACTGGAAGACAGTCAGCTGACAGATGCAGAAGACGACCGCGAAGGGGATGTGGGATGTGCTTAAAGAATACCACGAGCGTTCCTCCCTTTCGAGCATAATTCATGTTGTGCGTCAGCTAATTGCAATGCGGATGCCAGATAGCGGTGAAATGGCGGAACACCTCAAGCATATGACCGCGTTGCGCATTCGTTTGTCTGCGCTGGGAGAGGAAGTGAAGGACCATTGGTTCGTGGCTTAGATGCTGTCCAGTCTCCCGGACTCATACGACGGATTGATAATGGCGCTCGAAAGTCTGGTCTAAGGTCAAAGGAAAGTCTGACGGTCGATTTTGTGAAGGGAAAGTTGCTGGACGAAGGAAGACGTCGTGCGAAGAACGCTTCACTCAGTTAGAAAGCGCTAGCGACCGTTTCATAGAAGAAGAAACCTGCGGAGAAGCAATTAGTGAAGAAAGAGAAAGTATGCCATTATTGCAAGAAGGATGGGCACTTCCGGCGTGATTGTCGAAATACCACGCTACAGGTCTGACAGTCGTGCTATTCTACTCCCTAAAGAAAGAAAGAAGAGTGACACCTTCTTGAAATGGCGAGTGGGCTAATAGTGATACGTTCAAAACTCGTTACCAATTGGTGGTTGGTGAGTAGTAGGCTCAGATGTAACATTCTTGACTTAAGCTGATCTGTCTCTGCACACGGCCTCCATGAAGGACCGTGTCAACCCTAGCATGGCCTCCCTGCTTGCATAGATAACCATGGGATCACGATAAGCAAAAATGACACGAGAAATGATTCCACTATTCACTCATAAAATAAATCACATAACCAGTGGTAAATTTCCATGTGAATTTCACATAGCTTTCATCTGATCCCATAATTGAAAATTGCACCACTAAATCACATGAACGTTATGTATCCAATGAAATCTTTATGATTTCTCATATAGAATTTATTATGCTATGTGATATTCAGATAGAAATCATTATTTTTGTTTTTGGAAAAAAATACTATGTGCGTTCGTAATAGAAACTAAGTGAAAACATTTTTTCAGTGTGGGATTTCACAAATTTGACAGTATCCTCTTAACTGATCTATAAATTTATGGCCAATAGCAAATTTGAACAACACATACGAAATTTGCGGCTGTATTGCAGCTGTCGCTTACATCGCATGTGTTTGTTTTGCGTTGGTTGTAAGTGTGTGAGTGAAAAATAGCAGACAACAGAAAAATGCTGGCTTAGGCAGCCCCTTTGATTAATCCCTGTGTGCTAGATAAAGAAAGTGCGAACAAACGTCAAAACGCTAAAAGGTAGTAAGCTCCAACCATTATTATCCTCGGATTAAATCCCGATCAAGAATATCCGGCTTTGATGTCGACATCCGAGCAAACATTTCGCAGAACATCCAGACTGGGACAGTATTAAAAGTTAATCCAAGTTGGAGCCGAGGGGGGCGACTCTATCTACGATGCAGGAAAAATTGTGTTTTGCTGTGGTTAGCTGCAAAAAGATGATGTGCGATGCAAATAGATGCGAGAAATCAAAGAAGATTTTTCGAAGTTTGATTCGCTAGTGTGTGATTTGTTGAGCATCTAGAATTGAGATTTAGATGTGTCGCCCCCTCGGTTGGAGCCTACCACCATAAATGACAATCGCTGCCTCTTTTTTTTTCCTTTATTTAACGTCGGTCCCTGTTCCGCAATCTAGTGCCAATCATCGACGGACATCGATTGCCATCCATTGACGGCAACCGAATGTGCAGGAAGGCAGCTTCCACACCTGCGTAGGATATCGCACCCATTCAAACACACATGGGCCGGGACGGGACGGCTTTACTTCCCTTCCGAAGGAACACGTGACCAGAGATTTTTATGCCTCAGAAAAATCCCACCGACCTCGGCTGGGATTGAACCCAGACCCATTGGGGTGTTAGAAAGCAGTCACGCTTACCACTACACCACCGGCGCCGGCCTAATCACTGCCTCATACACGCTCCTTTAGGGTTACTCAAAAATTACTCAAATTTTCATAATTACTTTTGAAACATTAACAAACAATTAAAAAAAAAATTAATGGCTTTGTGATAATGAAAAAATACAAAGTTTGCCTTTGCGTCGTAGAAGAACATTTGAAAATTTCGAAAGAAATCATTCGAAAATGGAGCAAACTGCAGCGACCGTGAATGCGTATTAATGCGGAAATGTACCGAAAATTGAGATGTAATTGTTTTGCGTTCGGTTTGCTATAAAATTCAGTTTTTGGTTTGGAAAAGAAACGAAATGTTTGCCCATTTGTGTATTTTTGACGCATTTCCCTATATTTTGGATTTTATGGGAATGAGTAGAGATAACTCATCAACAAATACCTAGCCGTTTTACTCAAAATTCAGTTCTGGCTATGTTACTAAATTTAGAGTAGATCTAGTTTTAATTAAATTGAGTTGTTTTTCACTCAATTTTGAGTAGCCACGAACGAGCGTGCACACAAGTCTAATTTCAACGCGTTGAAGATGCACACACAATTTCAAAACTACTCAAATTTGAGGAGAATCAACGCAGATCGGTCAAACGGATTTTTCATCGGCGTGACATAAATTTATTCGGCTGCGCGCCGGCTTAATTTCATCAGCGGCGGCGGCGTATGAAAATCGTCGTTGGCGGCGGCGCACAGCTCTAGGCCTGACTACTTCAAACTAGGGGAACAGGATTTTTCAGTAATCAAAGGAACACATCTTAGTCCTTGTTACTTTTTATACCTTGTTGATAGTGCCAAGACTCGACTTTGTCCACCAAGGATGATCATTTCAAACGGCGATTTTTTTAAATTTTTTTTATCAACCTTCTACGATTATGTTGAAACTTTGCTATTTGTTACTGTCATTTTACATATTTGGTTCCCTAGTGTTGTACACGAGTAACACTTGAAAAGGACTTATGCAAAAATGATACGCATCAATAGAAAAACATATATCTCGCGAACGATTTGTTTGATCGAGATGGTGTCTTCGGCGAAGTTGCGAACAAGTATTGTACCTTTCAAGAAAAAATATACACTGTAAAACATTATTTTATTATTTAAAAAAAAATCAAAATTAAAAAAAAAAATTAAAATTACACAAATTGCTAATTGCAATATTGTAGTTTAGATTAAGTGATAGCTACTGACAATGTGTATTTGCTGGGCAATTCATAAACAAAAAAGTTATGAATTATTGAAAAAGTACTATTTTTCAAAATACTACCTATAGTTATCTAATATCTTTGAAATGATAGTATTATTAAAACACATTAAATTTACAACAAAAAAGCTCTTAGTGCTTAAATTGCCCAAAGTTGTTATTTTCGAGATACTCGTAAGATAAAATTCACTTACTGCATAATTTGAGCAATTTTTTTTTTGAGATTTTATTCGTGAATGTCCAATCTTGGAAATATTTTTAACGAAAAACCCAATTAATTTCCTTAAACTTTGCAGTTCACAATTTTTCAATCAGACGCACAAGTCTCTATACAACAAGCGTTGAAAATCAAGCCACTGAATGTCTGGTACCTAATTGCATACATAGGTATCATCTAATTCTTCATTGATACCTAGCCACTTGGTAAAAATATTTGTTTCAGCAGCAAAAACTGATATTTAAAGAGCTGCACAAGGATATCTTCAATCAGTCACTAACAGTAAGCAGTCTTAGTTGTTATCTGTGGAATATATAAATAGTTTTAAGGACAGTGATTCAGTGTTGTTATACAAAGTTTCGTTTCTGGTAAGGTAAGCTTGTTATTCAATATAAATTTTATCCGAACATAAGTTATATGTAGGGGAATTTACGTATTCTCGTCAATCTAAGCAGCGTCTGCACTTCTACTAGCATTTTCTCAGCGTCACGCACATATATGATGTGTCTGTTTGTTTACATTCATCTGCTGCTTGCTTCTCTATCCATTCCAATCGACAGAATTTTTCAAAACGTTTTGAAAGCGTTTTTACAACGCTCCAAACTTCTCAGGTGAGTGTGACTATTGTCGGCAGCCTCTTTTTCTTCGGCAACCTTCCCATTAGAACTACGTGTTAACCAGCTGTTTTATTATCGGCAACTCGAAATCAACCCCATTTTGTAGTGCGTATGCTTTATTTGAAGAAAAATGTAGCATTACTGGATTGCTCGATCGTTCAAATATAATCAGATTGAAGCTGAAAGGCTAAACAATCGTTTGGACACATTCAGGGAAGTGCGTTGATGGGAAAACATAGTGAAATTAACGTTTAAATTTAGGTTGCCGAAAACAGTCAATGGGTGCCGAAGCCAACATTTACCCTATATCAAAAATAAGTATATTTATATTTTTACGTTTTTTCAGCGATATGGATAATCGATTTGTTATGTCGCAATGTAT